ATTCTCATCAACATGAAGTTCGGAACGATCACATATATCGACTAAATCTAGTCTTGACTTCAAATTATCTTTCGTTTTACCTTGGACGTTAAGGATCGTGTTCATAAGATTGTCAAAATAGTTCTTCTCAATATGCATGACATCTAAATTATGCCGCAGCAGATGATCCTTCCAATATGGCAGATCCCAGAAGATACTCAATTATGTAGTTCTCCAATAGCATCTACTGGATAATGAACATATCCACCAACGTCCGGCGTCCTTTCAGCACCAAAATCTCTTAGCTGTGTCAACAAATCTGCCCCACAAATTTCCGGGGGTGGACTGTCAAACACCCTCTTGTTCTTCGTAAACAAAGTCCTACTCCTACGATATGGATGATCAGGTGGTAGGAATCTCCTGTGACAGTCAAACCAACACGTTTTCCTTCCGTGTTTAAGTTGGAAAGCATCTGTGTTATCTTGACAATGTGGACATGATAGCCTTCCATGCATTGTCCATCCAGATAACATACCATATGCTGGAAAATCACTTATAGTCCACATAAGTACTGCCCGCATTTGAAAGTTTTCCTTACACGAAACATCGTATGTTTCAGCACCTTGAGCCCATATTTGTTGCAACTCATATATTAGTGGCTGAAGAAACACATCAAGTGATCTCCTAGGATGCTCTGGCCCAGGAACGAGAATGGAGAGAAACAAAAACTCTCGACGCAAGCACAAGTTTGGCAGTAAGTTGTATGGTGTAAGAATGACTGGCCATAGAGAATATTGTCTCCCATGCTTGCCAAATGGGCTGAAACCATCCGTACGTAATCCAAGATAGACATTTCTTCTCTCAGACGCAAATTCTGGATATGTTGATTGAAAATGCTTCCATGCTTTTGCATCTGAAGGATATCTAATCTCACCATCTGTCGAATGCTCCGCATGCCATCTCATTGGTTGGGCTGTGCGTTCAGATTGATACAACCTCTTCAACCTTTCTGTCAGAGGCAAATACCACATCCTTTTATATGGCACTGGATGTCTTCCACTCGTATCTCTATAACGAGCCTTCCCACAAAATTTGCATGTAACCCGGTTCTCATCCGCCCTCCAATATATCATGCAGTTATCGATGTATACATCTATTACCTGATACGATAAACCAAGACCAGCAACGAGTTTCTGAACCTCGTAGTATGAACCATGGGCTAGATTATCCTCTGGTAGAATACCCTTTACAAAATCAGCAATCGCATCCACACATTCTTCAGCCAAATTATAATCGGTTTTAATGCCCATCAATCTTGTTGCAGATGATAAAGGTGAATGACCATCTCTGCAACCTTTTTACAAAGGTTGTTTTCCTGCATCCAACATATCAAAAAATCTCCTAGCTTCTACATTGGGTAATTCATCCCCTCTAAAATGATCATTTACCATCTGCTCAGTACCTACACCAAAATCTACATCCGTTCTAATTGGTTCTTCTAACCTATCCGATGTCTGGGGTTCGCTAGTACTACCATATTCATAATCAGTTTCCCCGTGATGATACCAAATTTTGTAACTTCGTGTAAACCCGTTCAAATATAGATGAGTCCAAACATCCCACTNCATGAATTCCCTAATGCCTTTAAGGTATTCTTCCGTAAGTAATTTCGTGTCGGGATCCAAATGAGGTCGATCCATCCACGAACGATAATAATTTGAAGAAGACATGTTTTTGTGAACCAGATTCGTGTGTATAAGTGAGAGGATGAGAATATTGAGTGAATGAAAGGAGAGGAGGGGTGCTTGTATTTATAGATGAAATGCTGCCGACGATTCCGACGAAATTCCGACGGAAAATTAGTATTCCGTCGGAATTTCGTCGGAATATACAACGGTTAGAAATATCCGTCGGAATTTCGTCGGAATATACAACGGTCATAAATATCCCTCGGAATTCCGTCGGAATATTCCGATGAAATTCCGAGGAAAATGTAAAATCCTCGGAATTTTCGAACTTTTCCAACGGCTCGTCAACGGCTATAATTAATCCTCGGAATGTCCTTGGTATATTCCGACGGAATATGGGTTCCTCGGAATTTCGTCGGAATATTCCGACGGAATTCCGAGGAAATATAAAATTTGTGTTTCATCGGAATTCCATCGGAATTTTCCGAGGAATTGCATGGCCGTCGGAATGTTCCTAGGAATAAGCCATGTTTTCTTGTAGTGCATGGCCATTGTGTTCATTCAGTTTTTGTATGCATTGATGTCAATCGTAGGAAAAATCGCTTTGAACCAAGGCATGAGCCCTCATGTCTTGGTTGCTTACCGTATGGCAGTTGCAGCAGCTCTCCTTACTCCTTTCGCTCTCGTTCTTGAGAGGTATCTTCCTCTTCTTGTAGTTGAAGTTTGTTAAACAAAAATAACATAAAATAAGAAGTTAATAACCGTTTCTTGTGTTGCAAACGTAGGAACTCAAGACCACAGTTGACTTTCAAACTCTTATGTCAAATATCAGTTTATTTGAGTATGATCACTTGTTACATCATTTCTGATTCACAATGATAGAATTAGTCAATTAGACATTGATTCCTTTGTGTAAACTACGTTTAAATTAAATAAATGCAGGCATGTGGTTGAACAAAACCTGTATTACTCAGGGATGAAGCTTACAACTGCTACATTCACGTCAGCTTTGTGGAATGCTCTTCCTGCAATGACATTGATACTGGCCTGCATTTTCAAGTAATTCTCTACCAGTACTGTTGCCAATTCATGTACTATTTTATTACTGAGTTTTTTTTTTTAATTTATTTATGTTATTGAAAGACTGGAGAAGGTTCATATCAAAAGGCGTCACAGCCAGGCAAAGCTGGTGGGGACCATGGTGGCCATCGGAGGGACAATGATCATGATATTCATCAAAGGGAATGTTATTCAGTTTCCTTGGACAAGCAAGCCATGGGGGATTATTGGGCAGTCACATGCTATGAAAACTCCAAAGCAGGAGGAAGATATAGCAAAATGATCAATTATGCTTGTAGCTAGCTGCTTCAGTTGGTCATGTTACATCATTTTACAGGTAAAACCCATTCCCTATTCTTAGAAAATTAATTTCTACAGGCGAATTAAATCGAACCTTATACTCAAACCGATGATCAATTAAAGAAACAGTTAATATATTTCAAATCATATCAGCACTGTGTCCGCTTCTGTTTCTTGCTAGCCAGTCTAAAACAAGAAATTATCTACCAGTTTAACTAAAGGCTGATATATTTCCAAGCAGATAACATTAATTTGAGAACAATTCTAATAAATAAACCAATCACAGAGAAGTAGTAAAGGTAACAGAAATTTTTTATAAATAACTTTCAGGCAAAACTTTTGAGTTCATATCAAGCTCGACTCTCGCTAACAGCACTTATGTGCATTATGGGGATGCTAGAGGCCACTGTTTTGGCATTAATATGCGAAAGGAAGAACATGTCAGCCTGGAAGATCCACCCGGACATGAAGCTATTAGCTTCGATATACGGAGTACAACCATTGTTTTCTCTGTATCCTTAATAAAACTTTTTTTTTTGTGTGTGTTTGTTGACAAAGTAAGTACTGTTGATTGTCACACAGGGAATTGTCTCAGGGTTAGCATACTATCTTATTGGAGTGGTTTCAAAGGAGAGAGGACCCATGTTTGTGAGTGCATTTAACCCTCTCAGCATGGGTATCGTTACTATACTCAGCTCATTTGTTCTCTTGGAAAAACTGTACCTAGGAAGGTAAAAAACGCTTGATAAGACACTACTATTTCGATAGAAATAATATTTGTGAATTGCTTACCACTAAATGTATTTCCTAAACTTGTAGGGGGTTGTCGGATCAGTTGTCATTGTCCTTGGAATTTACTTGGTACTATGGGGTCAAAGCAAGGACAACAGAGGCCAGTTTCCACCAAACGCTGGGTGTGCAAAGACTATGGTAGAAGTTGACGAACAGATGGTTCTAACGCCTGATAATAACCAAGTACTACGCCAACCGTGAGAAGTTAATGATCCCAAAACCAGCTACAGAGCTACTCAGTATCAGTTACTCTGAGATGCCGGTTATGTTCCAGTATCTCGATATTAATTAATGCACAATATTATTGGTAGTATTAGTAGTATGGTTTGCCAAGTTGAATAACTCTTCTTCATCCTTAATCATTGCTTTAAACTGCTATATCATATTAGCGATGTCTACGTTTGAATAATATTAACCTTTCCAGGTGTTTATCTTTTTACATCAACTGAAGAATATATGATCATGTGAACTACAGATGCCATTCAATAACTAATTTTTAATAGCTTAAGTCAACCAGAAAACACAAGTGCCAGATATTTCCTCTTGTGTAGTTAAGAGCAATAATGCCGTTAATATAGAAAATGGATTTGACAATGAGTTCATAACGTGGATTATATTCAAACGAAACATGATTATAGCTGTAGTTTTCATGAAAGTAGTGAGTAATTATTTGGCCGTGTAAAATATTTTCCTAATCAAAATGAATTTTAGCTTTTTTGAACCTGGTTTGAGATCCATGTGTATATTCTATTATCCAAAGAAATATAAAAACCGATGAAAATACGATCAACACAAAAACTCACCTGAAAACTATAAGTTGAATATCTAACAACTTTCAAGCTTTTCATCTTACCTTTTTCCTAAAAAGCTTCAGTATAGACCGTTAATATACATACAGATCATGGAATCGAGTTGAAGAGAAGTAAAGAGCATGTCCTCTCCTGCGTTATAGACCATGGAGAGCAAGGAAAGTTGAAGTACTATACATGTCCTCTTGAGATTTATGATTTATTTGTGCGAATTTTCAGTTAGTGCTTTAAATTGAAGAAGAAAGAGGATAACCTCTTCTTTGTCTCTCAAATTTAAGAGGTAGGAGGAGTATGGGGATGAAGAAATAAGATCGTGGGTTGTTGGATATTTTGAGAAACCTCGGAGAGGAATATGTTTTTTTCTAAAAATTATCTTATTTTAAATTGAATTTTTAAAGTTTTTTTTATAAATTCCAAATGACAAAATTTGATTGGTCATACGATTTTCGTTTTATTATAAAGGATTTACGGTTTGAATAGCTTCGAACAACTCCTGAGGTGTAGCCTTCAGCTCTAAAACAATGCCATAACTGGTCTTTCACAAAATATGTGGTTTCTTGGGTGCTTTGTCTTGCAATTAGCATGCTGCTCATATTTATACGCATTAAAAATCTTTTGTCACAGTTCAGTTGGAAAAAAATAATAGATGGAAACACGGTTATTTTCTGTTCTTTTTTTTTTGTTGAATGCAAAATTATATTAATCAACAAAAGAAAAAATAATAGGTTTATCTACAATGATCACAGGAGATCTGAAACCAAAAAAACCAAGATTTGTCAAACTGTTAAGAATGAAGGAGAACCCTTACACTCTGTATCTGATCGATTAAAAACAGAGCATTCTAGCCAAAAAAAAAACACAGAGCTTCTATTGTTCAGTAGGGAACGTGCAAGCTGCGTTCCATTTGTTGATCAGCTCTACGCCTCCATTCTGATGAGCTGGCAAGTGGTAAGGAACGTAACCGATAGAGAACTTCGTGATCTATCAAAAAGGCTAATATAAATAAATATCAAGCAGTTGCCACGATTTCACCTCTCCGCCTTGGTTTCAGATTTTTTCCCCCAAGCAATTTAGAGCATGATTATCCCTATCACCTCTAATGAGTTTCTTAATGACTTTTAACTAATAAAAGAAACCTAAGAACTTTAGTTAAAAAACTCCCATTTTGAGTGGTCCAATGAGAGTTTCTTAATTGAGGATTCTTAAAAAAAAAAACAATGCCTAAATCCTACTCTTGTACTTCTAGCAATGCCTCTCTTCACAAACAAGAAAAAACAAGTTGTTACCTTTGTATCCAACATGATAGCATCGGCTTTGTCGAGAAAGAGAGAGTTGTATTCCTTAACAAGATCAATGGTTTTCTGATGAGAAGCATAAGCCTTTGTCTCTCTGCACCACACGAAAAGAGATGCAATAAGATGATAAGGTATATATAAGTGGTGGTATTTTGATTAGTAGATCGCATAAACACATAAAACTTATCACATTATAACATAAAACAGAACATGTTTTATCACATAAACACATAAAACAAGACATGTTATATCACATATAAACATCAAACAGAACATAAACGAGAGACATAAACCAAAACACATAAAGGACGAAGAAGCATACAAAGAACACAGAATGGAGACAAACCTTTTGTCTTTCAAGAAGATAATAATGCCAGCTGCTTCATCTGGTGAAACATGTGCAGATGTTTGAGGCCGTGATGAAGAGCTTGGCAAGCTGACTAGAGAAGGAGAGTACCATGGCTGCTGCGAAGAAGAAGAACAAGAAACTTCCGGAGGAGGACGAGATTGCCCTCTTTTGATCCCCTTTGATGTAAACCAAAATATACATTACTAAGAAAGTACTAACCATATCAAAAATTTAAACTTTAAAGGGCACAACTACAATAACACATAACTTCTTCTATTCAGATGCAGAACATCAAACTAGAAACGAGGCACAAAAGTAACAAGACTACAATATACTACAACATTCCAAATCTAATATCAGCAATACATTCCTATGTTGATTAGAGCTCATATTTGACTAAGAAACTTAACATAACTTACACAACAAACAGATTGGCTTAATCAACGAACATACTTAATGTCCTGAACACACGTATCTGATTATCGTAACTAGAAAATCTTGAAAGCATACAAAACAGCAGCTAGCAACAAAAGTCTCCAACAACACGGAACACACAAAAATAAGATTTGGGTATTACCAGAAATTAATCATCGTGTTGATAGAACTCGGAGAAGAAGCTTGTGTCTTGTCGGGAACAAAATTTGACCTTTTACAGGATCGACCAAATCAGCATTCACCATCTTCGCCCTGGGAAGCACTTCTCAAACGATCCATAGATCCCCTCAAGCTTCTCAAAAGCCGATTTAGTCCACACCACAAATCGCAGCGATTGCATACGGAATTTAGGTCGGAGCGAACATTCATCGGCGGCGAAACTGGTTGGTTCTCATCGTCGTCTGCAGGAGAACACAACCGAAGCAGAGAAGACGCGAGAAAAGAAAAAGAGAAGAAAATAGAAAAAATATACATTTACTCTGGTGCTGACACGTGGGTAAAGAACCCCTTAGTTATCGGTCTCAAAATCCTTTCTTAAGGATCGACTAGGTGATGGGCCGCACGCCTGTGCAGACATTAATATAACTATACATTGCATAAAAGTTAATATTAGTGTATAAATGTATTGTAACTATTTTTCTCTTCTACGCAAGTATTCCATTTTTCCTTGTATATCTTTCTATTTTATTCATTTCAGTTTTTCTTGTTTTTTTCACACACATTCATTCTGTATTTTTGTATCTCTCATCCTGTTCTTTATGTCTGTCATTGTACCTCTTTCACTTGCTTTCCCTTTTTCTTTTTCACTCTTAATCAAATAATCTTAAAATCTTTCAAACTTACAATCACTCTCTCAAAATCATTTATATTCACTCTTTTACCCCATCTTTATTATAACCCTCAATATTTTACTTTCAAATTTTTCTATTTCTTTTTTTGTTATAAATTTTTACCATATTTTGTTAAATCTTCAAAATACTCTCACATAATATTAATAAATGATTTCATGATGTATCTCACTTACATTCAGTCTCTCACTTATTTCACTCACATATCCATCATGATCATAACCCTCACTTCTCATCATCAACATCTCTCCCTCTCTCACCTATTTTTTTATTTAGCTTTTAAGGTAAAACTCACAATTAAACTCACAACAAATTAACCAAATAAATTCATTATTAAATTCTCTCCAATTTTCATACTATCTTATCAAATATTAATTCATTTGACCAAGATTTTCATTAGAAAATAAATATTTTTTAAAAAAATATTATTATTTTTTCAATTACTTCAATACACACCTATTTTAAGTAAATCAAATTTACTGTATTTCAAAAAATATGATTAATAAATTATATATCCTAAAAATATCTAAATTTTAAATAATGTGATGTCATTAGACATAGATATATCAAAATAACATGTTTCCATTTGTATAAATTTTTTTATAAATTTGTTATCATACATTTTAAAAAAATTAATATATCGCAAAAATACTTATCGTTATTTTAAAATAATTTTGTTTTAAATTTAATTTACGTTATAATTTGGATTTTCGACATTAATAAATTTAGAACTTATCATTTACATTTATCTTCATTGCTCAATTTTTTCATGTTGTATAAGCACCTAAAACTAATTAGTTTACCATTATACTAATACGTAAAAAATATTTCGGTATACAAATAAAAATGATGTAAGAAAAAATATAAAATCACGAAAACTATAACAAAAGTTTTTATTATTATTCACTCATGTTTTTTTAATTTATGTCTATTTTTTTCTATTAAAAATTAACATGCCAATTTTATTATACTCAAAGCTATATGAATATAATAACTTTAGTCTCGTATTAATACAATTCAAGTATAATACCATTTTGTCATTGAAAATAATTGATTTTTTTAGTTATATATTTGACTATTTTAAATTTATTTGATATATTTTTAGAATATTTGTATATAGTGGATATAATTATTATTAAGTTTATATTTATTATTGCATTCACTAAAAATATAACATATTTAGATATTTTTGGATCATCATTTTTGTTGGAGAGAATAAGATTTGCAAATATCCGTTTATATTTAAATAATTTACATAATGTAATATATGATAATAAATTGCTTCAATGAATAAATTATGTTAAGTTGTTTATATTTAAGATGATTGGTTGTTAATTTGGTAAGATAGTTAGATAAGGTAATTCTATTATTAGTTTCCTTTTAAAATCTTTAATTAAGTAAATAAAAATTCAAATACCAATAACTAATCAAATTAAGAGAATTAATTCTAAACTTCATCTATGAATGACATCTAAGCAAAAATCACTAAAGTGACTTCTCATTTAATATATAGTAGGATAACTCCATTTTAATTTTGTTTGATTTAATTAAATCATTTTTTTACTTAAAACCCCCTCTTAAAAAACAGCAATATTAAAATAGCATATGATTATCCCAAAGATCCATGATTACCCCCTCAAGCTTCTCAAAATCCTTTCTTTTAAGGATGATAACTCCTTTTTTTACATATGTTCTTTCCTTAACAGTGCGAAAAATAATTGATGATAAAGGACCTCTACCTTTTTAACTAAAATAGCATTGATTATCCCAAAGATCCATTTAGGGGTTCTTATTTGTTTTTTAATACTTTTAAGTAGTAAAAGTGATTTTTTGACCAAAAAAATAAATAAATAAGTGATTTAAGAGACAATATTAAGAAATCCAAATATTTTTGTGCTCCATTGCAAAACTCTTAATTTAAAGTTCTTAAAAAAAAATTAAACATCTATACTATTAAAACAGAAGACCCTTTTTTCAGCGCCCTTCTGTTTCAACAATATTTACAGAACAATGCCACTGCATAATTTTTTAAGCTATGCTTTGTATTAAAGCGGTTTTACTCGATGCAAGTGGGTTTGACCCGATAGAATATTCTAAAACAATACTTTTTATTTAATTCTGTTTTCTGTTTTTCTTTTATTTATGCAGCAAAAATCACACATTTAATTAATATAACCCTTTTCATTTATTTATATATGCTTTCGAGATAACATTGCCTATATATTTGCATGATATAACACATATATATATATTTGTCATGTACGTTTTGAATCAAACACATCCTTCCATCCATATTACGAAATAAATGTGCATACGATTATATCAATTAATGTACATACAAACATTACTATCTCATTAAAATGATGAATCGACGTATATGTTTAGTAATACATAATTACGAGTAATCCTCTGCATATTTTGTTTTATTTATGCTTATTCTTTA